GAGGATAAGAGGGTAGAGAATGTAGAGAATAAGAGGGTAGAGAATGTAGAGCATAAGAGGGTAGAGAATGAGAAGGTAGAGAATGAGAGGGTAGAGAATGAGAAGGTAGAGAATGAGAGATAGAGAATGAGAGGGTAGAGAATGAGAGGGTAGAGAATGAGAGGGCAGAGAATGAGAGAGTAGAGAATGAGAGGGCAGAGAATGAGAGGGTAGAGAATGAGAGGGTAGAGAAGGTAGAGAATGAGAGGGTAGAGAATGAGAGGGTAGAGAATGTAGAGGATAAGAGGGCAGAGAATGAGAGGGTAGAGAATGAGAGGGCAGAGAATGAGAGGGTAGAGAATGAGAGGGTAGAGAACGTAGAGAATAAGAGGGTAGAGAATGTAGAGAATGAGAGGGTAGAGAATGAAGAGAATAAGAGGGTAGAGAATGTAGAGCATAAGAGGGTAGAGAGTGAGAATGAGAGGGGAGAGAATGTAGAGAATGACAGGAGAATATGTAGAGAATGAGAGGGTAGAGAATGAGAGGGTAGAGAATTAGAGGGCAGAGAATGAGAGGGTAGAGAATGAGAGGGTAGAGAATGTAGAGAATGAGAGGGCAGAGAATGTGAGGGTAGAGAATGAGAGGGTAGAGAATGTAGAGAATGAGAATGAAGAGAATGAGAGGGTAGATAATGAGAGGGTAGAGAATGTAGAGAATAAGAGGGTAGAGAATGTAGAGAATGAGAGGGTAGAGAATGTTGATAATGAAAGGGTAGAGAATGAGAATGTAGACAATGAGAGGGTAGAGAAGGTAGAGAATAAGAGGGTAGAGAATGAAGAGAATAAGAGGGTAGAGAATGTAGAGCATAAGAGGGTAGAGAATGAGAAGGTAGAGAATGTAGAGAATGAGAGGGTAGAGAATGTAGAGGATAAGAGGGTAGAGAATGAGAGGGTAGAGAATGAGAGGGTAGAGAATGAGGGGGTAGAGAATGAGAGGGTAGAGAATGTAGAGGATAAGAGGGTAGAGAATGAGAAGATAGAGAATGAGAGGGTAGAGAATGAGAAGGTAGAGAATGAGAGGGTAGAGAATGAGAGGGCAGAGAATGTAGAGGATAAGAGGGCAGAGAATGTAGAGGATAAGAGGGTAGAGGATAAGAGGGCAGAGAATGAGAGGGTAGAGAATGAGAGGGCAAAGAATGTGAGGGTAGAGAATGAGAGGGTAGAGAATGTAGAGGATAAGAGGGTAGAGAATGTAGAGAATAAGAGGGTAGAGAATGAAGAGATTTAGAGGATAGAGAATGTAGACAATGAGAGGGTAGAGAATGTAGAGGATAAGAGGGTAGAGAATGTAGAGCATAAGAGGGTAGAGAATGAGAAGGTAGAGAATGAGAGGGTAGAGAATGAGAAGGTAGAGAATGTAGAGAATGAGAGGGTAGAGAATGTAGAGGATAAGAGGGTAGAGAATGAGAGGGTAGAGAATGAGGGGGTAGAGAATGAGAAGGTAGAGAATGTAGAGGATAAGAGGGTAGAGAATGAGAAGATAGAGAATGAGAGGGTAGAGAATGAGAGGGTAGAGAATGAGAAGGTAGAGAATGAGAGGGTAGAGAATGAGAGGGCAGAGAATGTAGAGGATAAGAGGGTAGAGGATAAGAGGGCAGAGAATGAGAGGGTAGAGAATGATAGGGCAAAGAATTGGAGGGTAGAGAATGAGAGGGTAGAGAATGTAGAGGATAAGAGGGTAGAGAATGTAGAGAATAAGAGGGTAGAGAATGAAGAGAATAGAGAATGTAGACAATGAGAGGGTAGAGAATGTAGAGGATAAGAGGGTAGAGAATGTAGAGAATAAGAGGGTAGAGAATGTAGAGCATAAGAGGGTAGAGAATGAGAAGGTAGAGAATGAGAGGGTAGAGAATGAGAAGGTAGAGAATGAGAGATAGAGAATGAGAGGGTAGAGAATGAGAGGGCAGAGAATGAGAGAGTAGAGAATGAGAGGGCAGAGAATGAGAGGGTAGAGAATGAGAGGGTAGAGAGGGTAGAGAATGTAGAGAATGAGAGGGTAGAGAATGAGAGGGTAGAGAATGAGAGGGTAGAGAATGAGAAGGCAGAGAATGAGAGGGTATAGAATGAGAGGGTAGAAAATGTAGAGCATAAGAGGGCAGAGAATGAGAGAGTAGAGAATGAGAGGGTAGAGAATGAGAGGGTAGAGAAGGTAGAGAATGTAGAGAATGAGAGGGTAGAGAATGTAGAGGATAAGAGGGCAGAGAATGAGAGGGTAGAGAATGAAAGGGCAGAGAATGAGAGGGTACAGAATGAGAGGGTAGAGAATGTAGAGAATAAGAGGGTAGAGAATGTAGAGAATAAGAGGGTAGAGAATGTAGAGAATGAGAGGGTAGAGAATGAAGAGAAAAAGAGGGTAGAGAATTAGAGGGTAGAGAATGTAGAGCATAAGAGGGTAGAGAGTGAGAATGAGAGGGGAGAGAATGTAGAGAATGACAGGAGAATATGTAGAGAATGAGAGGGTAGAGAATGAGAGGGTAGAGAATGAGAGGGCAGAGAATGAGAGGGTAGAGAATGAGAGGGTAGAGAATGTAGAGAATGAGAGGGTAAATAATGTAGAGAATGAGAGGGTAGAGAATGAGAGGGCAGAGAATGAGAGGGTAGATAATGAGAGGGCAGAGAATGAGAGGGTAGAGAATGAGAGAGCAGAGAATGAGAGGGTAGAGAATGAGAGGGTAGAGAATGTAGAGAATGAGAGGGTAGAGAATGTAGAGAATGAGAGGGTAGAGAATGAAAAGAATAAGAGGGTAGAGAATGTAGAGCATAAGAGGGTAGAGAGTGAGAATGCGAGGGGAGAGAATGTAGAGAATGACAGGAGAATATGTAGAGAATGAGAGGGAAGAGAATGAGAGGGTAAGAGAATGAGAGGGTAGAGAATGAGAGGGTAGAGAATGAGAGGGTAGAGAATGAGAGGGCAGAGAATGAGAGGGTAGAGAATGAGAGGGTAGAGAATGTAGAGAATGAGAATGAAGAGAATGAGAGGGTAGATAATGTAGAGAATGAGAGGGTAGAGAATGAGAGGGTAGAGAATGAGAGGGCAGAGAATGAGAGGGTAGAGAATGAGAGGGTAGAGAATGTAGAGAATGAGAATGAAGAGAATGAGAGGGTAGATAATGTAGAGAATGAGAGGGTAGAGAATGAGAGGGTAGAGAATGAGAGGGCAGAGAATGAGAGGGTAGAGAATGAGAGGGTAGATAATGCAGAGAATGAGAGGGTAGAGAATGAGAGGGTAGAGAATTAGAGGGCAGAGAATGAGAGGGCAGAGAATGAGAGGGTAGAGAATGTAGAGAATGAGAGGGCAGAGAATGAGAGGGTAGATAATGTAGAGAATGAGAATGCTATTGTAGATAAAGTGAAGGTAGATAACGAGATTAATGATTCTGGGAGTGATAATGATTCTGACTATGAGTCAGATTTTGAATTCGAACAGAATGAATCTACCAATGACTATCTTGTTTCCAAGTACTCTTGTGAGGAATAACTTTTAATCAGATCAATACATATATGTAATGTATTATAATATATTCACATTATTCAATAAACTACAATTGTTATGAATCACAGGTTATAATATAAAACAAAATCAAAATTAACGTTTGTTCAATAGCATCTCATTTGATTTTTGAGTGAAAATATAGCCTAGGTCTGGCAAAACTTGGTACCCTGTAGGCCCCAATGTCTGACAGGAAAAAAAACTGTTTGCATCTCTGAGAGAGTGAGAGTGGAACCAAATGTAAACTTGATCTGTAGCTCATCATAGTAGACTCACATACTAAAAATTAGCTCAATACCGTATAGCGGGTTATTTTCGCGGGGTGTTTACTTTCGCTTATTTTGGCGGGTAAGGGGAAATCGCGAAATTAAATTCCGCGAAAACTTATGCATGCATTCGGTTCTTTCTAATAGCTAAAGCGTTTTGAATAGTATCTATTTTCCCGTTCGTCGAATCAATAATTGTTTAAGTTAATTTAACCAACATAAATGCGAAAGGCCATTGTTCTCAGGCTGTTAGGTGTTAATTAGTTAATTGGTTACATAATAAAATAATTAATAATATTAGAGTGTAAGGTACTCTGTCAGGTGTTTTATCCTTATTAATTAGTGTCAAATTATATTAGAGTCGCAAGTCACTCATGATAATTTTATGATCTAATTAGTACATCAAAGGTCCGGTCAATTTCGTAACTTTCTAATCAACAGTAACATTTACCAGAGGTTTATACACCTGTGACAAATATCTAATTACCGGTATTCTATTGATTAACTGCATCAAAATATAATCAATAAATATAAAGACGTCATGCAGGTAAAACAATCATTTAACCATAACAATAGATACTTGTCAATTTTTACAACTTTTTAACTGCAACCATTTCAGTATCCGCCAAAATATTTAATTGGGATTAAAGAATCCGCCAAAATAAAAACCGCCAAAATTTTTTGTATACTTTGTTGCCCCTAATTCGCTAAATTTTTCACCCGTGAAAATAACCCGCTATACGGTATATGACACGTTTAGACAAAAAGTCTGTATAACTGTTCATATTGGAATGGCAGATAAGGGTAACACTATATAGCCCAGACCCAAGTCGGAGGGGCCATCAAAATATCTTCCTCTGTCTACTTCAGATTGCAAAATTATCAAATTAATTTCACACAAGGAACATTTGCAAACACATTTATTTCATTGTCCAATAATTCCATACACCTTATATTACAATAACCAGTTATCAGAGTGAAATTATTTTGATCAAGAAAACAACTGAAAAAGAGATCACAAAATAATATTATCTCATTTGAAATCCCTGAAGCTGAAAATATTAGTAAGAGCATCTACTTTCCATTGGAACTTGTTATGCTCTCTTTAAGGCACCTTCTGAGCATGAAAATAATAAAGCTTTGTGTTCAGAAATAAAAGATTGTATAAGCTCACCTGTCTAATGAATGAAAGATTGTATAGCTCACCTGTCTAATAATACTTTTTCATTTTTGTCTTTCCTTGCCTGTTTGGATATAGACTGATTATTTTCTGTGCCATTTGTTGATACTTTTCGTTTCACTAGATTCTGAAAGAAAACATACAAATGTTTGACAAAAATAATTAGTTTAATGTTAGCTATCTTCAAACACAGTAGCTGGTACAGGCATTTATGATAGCTTATCCCTGGTTTTTATTTATTAAATTCTGAACATTAAAACATTACTAATGTATTTAATCCATTATCATAAAAAGTTGTTGTTGGGTGTTCAGTGTTCAAAATTTCAAAAATCCAGAGAGTGAAATAAAAGTGATTTCAAAATCAGTGTTGTAATTTCGCCTTTTATCAAAATCAGTGTTGTAATTTCACCTTTTATCAAAATCAGTGTTGTAATTTCACCTTTTATCAAAATCAGTGTTGTAATTTCACCTTTTATCAAAATCAGTTTTATAATTTCATCTTTTTATCATAATCAATGTTGTAATTTCACCTTTTATAAAAATCAGTGTTGTAATTTCACCTTTTATCAAAATCAGTGTTGTAATTTCACCTTTTATCAAAATCAGTTTTATAATTTCACCTTTTTATCATAATCAATGTTGTAATTTCACCTTTTATCAAAATCAGTGTTGTAATTTCACCTTTTATCAAAATCAGTGTAGTAATTTCACCTTTTATCAAAATCAGTTTTATAATTTCACCTTTTTATCATAATCAATGTTGTAATTTCACCTTTTATCAAAATCAGTGTTGTAATTTCACCTTTTATCAAAATCAGGTTTATAATTTCACCTTTTATCAAAATCAGTGTTGTAATTTCACCTTTTATCAAAATCAGTGTTGTAATTTCACCTTTCATCAAAATAGCTTACAAAGAATTCTTAACCACCTACATAATAATAGGGCCAGCTTTACCAAAATTTCATTTTTTAAAGATGTATTGTGGAGAACTACAATGTAATCAAACCAAAAAGGACTTAAAGTATAGCAAACTTGCGACAGGATATAAGACCTTTGCATGATTTAAAATATACCTTAAAATATAGATAGAAATCCAATTGGTGTGCATTAGATTATGCTGCATTTTGAGGTATTGATAAAATTCATTTTATTATTGTATATTTTGATATTGCTCAGTTATGTATAGTTTAACTTGCTTCTGACGTATATGTACAATGATGTATTTGGTGATGTATATTGTTATCCTCTTGTTATCCTATGCCTGCAAGCATCTACGTCATTTGGTTTCTGGTAGATAGTTGCCTCATTGGAAATCATACCACATCCCCTTAGTCTATATTAAATGGTTTTAATCATCTTGTGATTACTTGTAACACATAATACACTGCATGAGAAACTTACATCCTGTTCTGCTACCCTCAAACTAGAACTTAATGATCTTGTGATTACTTTTTACCCATAATACACTGCATGAGAAACTTACATCCTTTTCTGCTACCCTCAGACTAGAACTTAATGATCTTGTGATTACTTTTTACTCATAATACACTGCATTAGAAACTTACATCCTTTTCTGCTACCCTCTGACTAGAACTTAAGGAACTCAGTATAGAATTAACACGTCCATCTTTTCTTAACTTTTTAGCACTACAAGAATCATCCCAGTCATCAATGAGAGCTGATCTCTTCAACGTGGGTGTTTCTAGACGAGGTATTGTATAACCTGATGACGACAGGTCTGGCAGACTATCAGGCAATGGTGGCAAAGAGGAGGTTGATGAATTTGATTGTTGACTGTCTTGTCGTCTAAAAAATCAAAACCAGATTATTTTCAGTGAAATCACCAAATATTGCAGTAATTTATCATTATTCCAGTAAACATAGTTTCATAATCATATATTGTATTTTTTTGTGGTTACTGATGAGCACCAAAGAATATCATTGAAAATGTCCCTTCAAGATGTCATTGTGTGATCGATCTACATGTAACTCTACATTTAACTGCCATGAGAAAAAAAAATAATTACGTCATTTTCTGAAAACATCAACTTTCTTAAATTCTTGTGGAACATTTGGTCTACCAATATCAAGATACAATACATAAAGAAATTATTAACGGATTCCTCAAAACCCATAGAATAAGGAAGATATTAAATTTTCTTAAATGAAGCTCCAATCTAGTGAATAACATTTTGATCGGGTTAAAAGGTCATAAAGCAAGATAAACAAAATAATCAACTGGTTAATGGACTATGACCTCACTATGACCTTAGTTTTCCATTCATCATAATCATGGTAAGTAAATCACATACTAAATTGTTAACAATTAAAGGATTCAAGTATTTTTTGGACAAATAATTTTCCAATTATGATCTGTTTACAAGGTGTTATTACATTACAATAGTTTAAAATGGTCAAAGTCCCATAACTCAAAAATTGTCAAATAAAAACCATGGTATTGTGTTATCAAGTACAAGTGATGACAAACAAACCAACCCAAGTTTAAATGTTTTCTGGAAAATTGTCTCTGAGATGTAGTGTGATAGTGACTCACAGATGATGACTGTTTCCTAAAATAAGTGGACAAAAACAAGTATTTCCTTTTTAACATATCTATGACATTTAAAATTTTGTGAATGTTCATTAAAAATGTATGTATCTTGGTAAATGCATAATTTCCACAAAAAAGGCAGACTTAAGATGAGTTCTTTAAAGGTAAGTTTAAAAAAGCAATTTCTATCACAAGTGTTCAATAAACTGTTATCACAGAGATATGTCTCGCTTTTTAGTAATTTCGATAATGCAAATGTTGAAATTAAAATAGCAACACTTTAACATGTAAGTTTTGCAAATATTTAAAGTCAATGAACCATGACTGAAGGTACATGGCTAAACAATCTCCATGGAAATGAGATGTGCCAATGCTAATACAACTGCATACCAAATACCATTGACTTATCATTAGAAGTTCCCTTTAAACAAACTTAAACACAAACTAATACATGTAAACTAAGCAAAATTTCAAAGTCAATAAATCATAACTGAGGGGGCTGGGTCAATTAATCTCCATGGTAATGAGATGTGCCAATGCTAATACAACTGCATACCAAATATCATTGACCTACCACTAGTGGTTCCCCATAACCGACCTAATCACAAACTAATACATGAAAACTAAGCAAAAGTTTTAAAGTCAATAGACTGTGACTGAGGGGGCGGGGCCAAATAATCTCCATGGAAATGAGATATGCCAATGCTTATACAACTGCATACCAATTATCATTAACTTACAACAAGCTGTTCCCCATAAACTGACCTAATCACAAACTAATACGTGAAAACTAAGCAAAAGTTTCAAAGTCAATAGACCATAACTGAGGGGGTGGGGCCAAATAATCTTCATGGTAATGAGATGTGCCAATACTAATACAACTGCATACCAAAAATCATTGACTTACCACTAGTGGTTCACCATATACTAGACCTAATCACAAACTAAAACATTGTTGACGCCGCTGCCGGAAACAGCATACCTATGTCTCGCTTTTTGACTCTGTCAAGCGAGACAAAAACTGAAATCTTATACATTCCTTTCAAACAACCTGTTTTTGGTATTAAAAAAGGAAAAACGTGCGGAAATTTGGAATGTCATAACTTAAATGCCCTTTATTTAGAAAATGAAGTTTATTTCTCAACAATTGATGGAAAAGTCTTTTGATTGCTTGTACGGATGGGTTGCTAACACTAGGGTATACCAAACATCTCACCTACTTATTTAAAACAAACATGACATCAATCTCAATCATACTGCCTGTTATATGTGTAAATATTCTTATAAATTTGTTATTCAAATATTCCATTTGATCCCTATGAAGGAACAGGAGATTTTGGAATAAAATATTAAATGTACACTAAAGAATAACTACAGATGTACCTTCTCTTGGCTTGCTGTACTGGGTAATCTGTGTATGATGTATCATGGTCATAGCCTCCATAACTTCTCTTCAAACTGAAATATGGTTAGAATATTCAATTTATACAGAAATATATAAACAGTGTCCTAGCTTCCACCCCCCCCCCCCCCCCAAAAAAAAAGGGGGCACATTTCCTGTCTGTCCTGAAAGTTCTGCCCTATACCTTTATGTTTTCTGAAGGAAAATAAATACATATTGATGCAAATAATGTATTGAACTATTGGTAAAGCTTTTTACGAATAAAAATACTATGAATCCAGCAAAATAACATAGATTTACAGTAAATTCAGAAATATTTCATGTTTTTATTATTGCAAAATTGTAACAGAATAGGTTTAAGAAATATATATTTGATAGCATTATTTGTATATTCTAGACCCATAATAGGTTTGCACTATTATTGTTAATGAATAAAAATACATTTTTAACCATGAGATAAAGGCCTATTAAATAGGATAGAGAATGGAAATGAGGAATGAAGCAGAGAGATAAGAACCCGACTAAAGAGCAGAAAACAGCCCAAGACCACTAATGGGTCTTCACTGCAGAGAAAATCCTGCATCTGGAGGCTGGCCTCTAAACAGTTATGTAAACAAGTTTAGAGAAATGGACAACACACTTTACTCCATAACATACAAAAGAGCTAAAATTAATATAAAACACACAAGACTATCAACAGCTAGAGGTTCCCGACTTGGGACAGATGCAAAATTGTGACAGGGTTAAACATGTTTTGTGAGATCTCAACCCTCCCCCTATACCTCTAGCCAATGTGGTAAAGCATGTTTTGTGAGATCTCAACCCTCCCTCTATACCTCTAGCCAATGTGGTAAAACATGTTTTTTGATATCTTAACCCTCCCCTATACCTCTAGCCAATGTGGTAAATAAAATTGAGAATGGAAATGGGGAATGTGTCAAAGAGACAACAACCCGACCATAGAGCAGACAACAGCCGAAGGCCACCAATGGGTCTTCAATACCTCTAGCCAATGTGGTAAAACATGTTTTGTGAGATCTCAACCCTCCCCCTATACCTCTAGTCAATGTGGTAAAGCATGTTTTGTGAGATCTCAACCCTCCCCCTATACCTCTAGTCAATGTGGTAAAGCATGTTTTTCTTTACAATATTTGTGAGAACATATTTTGCTAGTTTACCTTTTCTCTTTTAGAGCTAATATAACTGCTTGAGTGTCTGGTGTTCTCCTTGAATCAGAACTGCTTGTTTGTATATGAAATAATCTAAAAGGAAAAAGTAAATTCTTTTATATTTATGAATGCTACAACTGTAGGTGATTTTGTCAACTCTACCTTTATACAGTGGTTGTGGACACAGAGTAGGAAAATCTTCAAATTGGTGTACTGTGTCCACCTTGAGGGAACATACAACTTCTTTTCCTTCATCACAAGCCTATATACATATACTATACCTTGGAAAAATTATTTAAGCTTAAGTACTTTAAAAATATTTTGACAAAATAGCTACGGAAGTGAAATTTAATAGTTTGACAATACTGAACTGGAGTTCGCTTAGTATCTGAGAAATGAACCTAGATCAATTAATAAGGTTATCTTTATTAATAGGAATAAATAATTCCTTTCTATATCATGTATATTGTAAGAGCAAAATATATATTTTCAACTGGATTTCAGTTAGTATGTCTAAAAACAATCAATCAATCTTGTGCATTCAAAAAAATAAAACATCTGAAGTGTAGTTTTTTATCCTTATTCCTGTAAAGTTTTCCAATTTAGATTACTGCTGGCATTATCTGTTCATGCATATCATACATGTGTTGCAGCTCTTTTTTGCGCTTGTTCTTATCGATTAATTTAGACTTTCCAGGGCTCACACTATTTCTGAATCATAGGGAGAAGTGACTTCTCTTTTTGAAACTGAGAAGGAGAAGTGGTGAGATTTGAGAGAGAAGTGCTCGTTCGCTCGCAGAGCTACAATGTTTGGTTTTACTATAATACAAAGGGCCATATGTATCTTATTTTTTTATATTGCTCAATTTGTACCTGGGAGTACAATAAAAGTAACAGTTCAAATTCAAATTGTTTACTTTTATCATATCTAGTTGCACAATCATATTAGTCCTCTTGTCAGAAAAAAACAGTTCAATATCTAGCAATAATAAAAAAAAAAAATTTTATATCAAAAAGGAAAAGAAAGTTGTTATTTCAATTTAAAATATACTCTGTTATGTTTGTGAAATTCAGTGGTTAAAATTCTCATTTAAAAGATATATAAATTTAACACAGTTAAGCTTGGACATAGTATAGTAGTCCCAGAGTTGTGCAATTTTAATTAATACATTGAAACTATTCATATACATGGTAATATATACATTAATCAAGTAGATCTAACCAAAAGTATGTTAATGCGCGTGGAAAGCGTTATTTTTCCTTTTGGGATCAATATTCCTCTGTCAGCTGTGCCATTCATTCTTCAGTAGTCATTATCGTAAGAATCCGGATTTCGGTCATAGCTGGTCCGGTTCTGATCAGTAGTTTATTACAAATATTTCAATGGCGGACGAAGAAGAAAAATTTACAAAAATAAACGATGTTTGACACGCTATTTGGAGAGGAGTATGACGTTTTTAATGCAATACATGGATAACAAATTTACTTCAGGCAAATTTCATCACTTTCTAATGAAGTAACGAACTTATTTTGCCGAAAATTGGAATGATTTGATGTACGCTCTCTAACAAGTACCGGAAGTGATAAAAAATTGTTTTTATGAAATAACATGCAACCAACTTTAAAATCAATGCTTTAACCTCTTTTCTGAAGAAAATAAATCGTTTATGTCTTTGAATTTCTTTACTTTTTACTGAAAAATTGCTGTTTCATCGACTTGGTAAAAATTGAATATTGCCGATGACGAAACCGACTGAAAGCGAGTATTGTAAACCACAGGGCGACTAGTTTTCGCTTTTCAGGATCTGGCAAAGCGACATCTTCGCCCTAGTCGCCTGGTAGCGTGAGCCCTGTTTTCCTTTCAATATCTAACTGATAAATGATTAAAAATATTTTCTTTTGCTGTTGTTTGTGTATAAATATGAAGCTTTTGAAATAAAAAATTGAGGCCCACCTGATTATTACTCACTATACCTAATTCAGGGATGATTCCAGGTGTTTTCAAATGGGTCCCTTGACCATCAAATTGGGAATTTTCATCCCAATTGGGAATTTTTTAAACGTAAAATCTAAGACAATATAACATTATTTTTCTGTAAAAACGGAAAATGTATATAAAGTTTCACCTGTACACAGCTGTAAGAAGTTAAAACATTTGGAATAATCCTGGACGGACTACTGATTATGATATATATGATTACCAGATCGCTTGACAGTTATTGGATTGAGACCAGGGAAGTTGTTACATGAAGATCATTGCACATGATGCACTATCTTTTGTAGGTTTGTATCTTAGCTATGGTAACCTAGGCCTTTTACATACATAACAGCTAACATAAACCACTGAACAAAATCATCCATTGGGTATTTTTTTCAACAACAGGTCATCTTTATAAATTTACATTGATTCAATTGGATTTAAATTGAACTGGCCAATTGTCGAATTTAGAAAAGCAATGTACAAAAGTTTAAGTACTTAATTGCATGATAAGATAATTTTGTGGTTTTTGCTGGCTGTTTAATATGTAGAAGGTTGCCATATTTTTTCTTTAGGTATAACCCTAAGAAACAGGAAATTAAAGCATTGAACCATTGTATTTAAATGTTATTTAGATCATCTTTACAACTTTGAAACGGTTCCATAATGCTGACATCCTATTTCATGAATGATCCATCATCCACATGTATTTTAAAAAACGCTCAAACTTTTGTCTTTTGAGGTATGGAGCCGAACAAAATATATAATAATTTCTTTTACAAAACAAGTTTTCATCATATTATATAACCGGCTCTGCTGGGCAATCTGCTTTTACGAGATAGCGCCCATTAAATTCATCAATGTTATATCAAAATTTAAATTTTGCTCTCTGCCGAGGTCTGCTTTAATAAGACCCAATTTGACAAAAGCATCTTTTTTATCGACCTGCTGGGCGATCTGTTTTTACGAGATCATATACTCCAATAACATTTTCATCAATTGAATCCGGCTGCTAAAATCGTTGACCACATCTTTAATTAAATCGTTGTCTTATCCAGATTTTAAAACGCTCAAAAGACAAATTAGGAGAAATATTGTTGCCTAAATCTGTGACGGAAACATTTCCGGAAATATAGATTTTTATTTTTTTTTTCCTGAATTGGGAAATTAAATTCACATAAATTTTTTGGGGACCCCCGGCCGATTTTAGGCCCTAAAATATATAGTAGAATCATCCCTGTAATTTCATTCTTATCATATCCTACCTTGGACTTGACAATTTATGTGGCTCTGGTGGACCAATCCTCACTATATTGGAACTCCTTACTGATGGTGATTTCTGGTGACCTAAATGTGACCTTTCTCGTTTTATGAGTCTAACTGCAGGAATGAATCCTGGTGATGCTTGTGAAGGATAGTTTTGGTAAGATTGATGAACAACTGGACTTTCCTGTCTGAAAATAAAATTTATAAGTAATTAGTATGCACATTTAATAAATTTAGTTTCTATCTCTATAAGATGATTTTCTTGAAAATATGACTGATTTTTTCATCTGTGTTTGCCACCACTTTTATCACCTTTCGCTTTTTCATGGCAGCAATTTTTTGGTGGAGGCAGCCCTAAAAGTTCCTGAAAAAAAGTCACAGGCCAGTCATTTGGGTTGACATGGATTTTTTATAAAACCACAAAATTTGCAACTATTTTTCAGTTTCAATATAAAACACAATTTACAGAAAGACTTAACCTGTAAAGAACTCATTTGAAAAAATCATTCTACTTTAATTCTGTTAATTCTTTTGAATCAGACATTTTCTGGTCTTTGCCTGCCCACACTTTTGATATATAAATACTAAACGATTGTGTTCCCTTCTATTGAGTATTAAGTTTTTGAAGCTAGGTTAAAGCACATTCAAAAACGATAATTTCAATTCAATATGGATAACTCATGTATGATTTTTTCCCGGTACCAAAATACCTACTAAAGAGCTGTCTGCATCCTTCTGACTTTAGGATATATAGGTTTAGGAGGTCTTTTGAGATATAGGGCATTTCTAAGAGGGTTTTGATTGAGAGCACTTAATCTGGAATATATTATGTGAATTTACCATTTCACATAAAAATAAACAGCTGCGCCATGAGCGCATGATATGCCAGTCGTCTTGTGTGTGAATTTTTATGCAATAATCATAAATAGTTTCTGACATACAGCGCGACATGCAAAAAGTTTTTGCCAAAAACCCCCATTTTTTTTTTACAAAAAACTTAATATCTCTAAAATAAAATTTTGAATCAAAACCAAAAAGTATACAGATCTTTAGATTAAAAAACTAAGAAGTGTGTTAAATTTTAAGCAATAATCATAAATCGTTTTTGAGATACGGTGCGACATGTGAAAACCCCCCTTTTAAAAAAAAATCAATATCTCTAAAATAAAATTTTGAATCAAAACCAAAAAGTATACAGATCTTTAGATTAATATAACTAAGAAGTGTGTAAAATTTTAAGCAATAAAAATACACAGCTTTTAAATTGTCTTAAGTAATTGTCCATTAACCAGAAAACCCTTGTTTTTCCCCCTTTTTTGCCCCTTATTCCTAAACGGTTTGAGCCATAACCCCCCCAAAGCAAATCCTAACCATCCCTTTGTGGTATGGAAACTTGTGGTATAATTTCAGAGAGATCCATACACCATTCCACAAGTTATTGTCTGGAAACTAGAAAAATTCTTATTTTGGCCCCTTTATGGCCCCTTATTCCTAAACTGTTTGAACCATAACCCCCAAAATCAATCCCAACCTTCCTTTTGTGGTTATAAACCTTGTGTTTAAATTTCATAGATTTCTATTTAATTATACTAAAGATATTGTCTGGAAACCAACTGTCTTCGGACGACGCTGACGACGACCTGATACCAATATACGACCGCAAACTTATTTGCGATCATATAAAAAAAGAAAATTTGTTGTAAATGTAAAAAATAATGAAGTGGAAAATGAATTATATTTTTTATTTTAATGTGACAAATACCACAATGAGTGAAAGCAAGTGTTTACTATCATCTCTAACAGTCAAGGGTATATCATATCTAATAAATAGTGTTGTTAAATTGAACAGTTTTGCCTAACAGGTTACTCAGATAATCTTTCGAACGGTTAACCGGTAGTTAAAGACGATGTGGAAAGGCCTTATATTCAGTACTTTACAAATACACATAAGCATTCTTGGTGAAGTTTTACTTTTTATAATCCAATACTACCATATATATACAGTGATCACCCCAGTCCGTTTTAGCGTCGCGGCACCGTGACGCTATAATTTTTTTCCATGACGCTATAATAATTTCCCCGACGCTATAATATTTTGAGGATGCTATTTTTTCTCGTCTCTATACATCAGATACATTGCCGCAAAATCGATGTCCTAATTTTTTAACTTTCGTCTAATTACCGCTTGTGATCATAAAAATTATATCACCTTTAATTGAAATCCCTTCAAGTCGGACAATAGAGGCAATTAAGAGTGATTAAATGGGTGTTAATTGACCTTTGGGTGATAACTGTTTGGATACCAATACCCCAAGCTGACACTTATGACATGACTTATAACACGTGGTCCAATCGCAAATTTTGACAACGAGAAAATGGAATAAAAAATTCATAAACAATTCGAAATCTACGTTTGCATCAAGGCATAACCGTCTCCTATTAGAAGAAAAACTATGCGGGGTACCTTGATGTTGACAAAATGGCTGACCAAACTAAGTTGTACAAATACGCGTTTATTTTCATGTCGATTAAACAGCAATTTTTCATTTATAAGTAAAGAAATTCAAGATATAAACCATTTATTTCTGTGAAAAGAGGTGAAAGCACTGAATTTACAGATTTGTGGTATATCATTTCAAACTAATAACTTATAAGAAGTGTTTTCTTTCCCTTCCGGTACTTGTTACTCGAGAGCGTACATTAAACATTCTGATTTTCGGCAAAATAAGTTTGATACTTCATTAGAACGTGATGAAAATTGCCTTTAGTTAATGCTTCATCCATTTATTGCATTAAAAGTGTCATATTCATTCCAAATCGCTTGTCAAACATTGTTTATTTTCGTTGATTTTTCTTCGACCGCCATTGAAATATTTGTTCAAACTACGGATCGGATGCTGGATTCATCGGAAACGGACCAGCTATGAAAATCCACATTTTTACGATAATAACTACAGACGCACAAATGGCACAGCTGACAGAATAATAATGATCCAAAAAAGGAAAACTACGCATTCTACACGCATTAACAGATCTCCTTGCTAAATGTATTTATTTCTATGTTAAAAATATATATCTTTTTGATGAGAAACAACTGGGACTAATACATTGAATCCCAGGAAACAATGAATTTCATAAACATGATAAACAGAATAGTTTTTTAATTAAAATTTTATCAATATATGATACTTTCTTTTCCTTTTTGATATATAAAAAAGTTTTTTTTTGTACTAGATATTTAGTTGTAGTTTCTGGCAAGAGGAAAAATATAATTCTGTAAGAGGAAAAATATAATTCTGTAACTATAAATGAATATTGAAGACATAAACTGAAACAACTGTTATACTTTAATTGTATTCTCAGTTATGAATTGAACAAAATAAACATTACTTAAAGGAAATAGAGCATTGCTGCGACGCAACAAATGACATTGAAAAGAAATACAATTTATTTTTTTACGTCAAATGTGATGCTATCCAAAATTTCTGGGGAGAACACTGTATATACTATGGCATTTGTGATAACTTCAGATTGTGTAGATGAATATCTTCTTGTTCATGTCAAATTGACATAGTCTGAAAACGTTGATTGCTTCATTTTCTGGTGTCTAAGAAATTTCTGTGGAGTGTTTCAATTTGAGATAATTAAGGTGTTACTCGTACCGCCCTGCATACATTAATTCTATTCACATGATTTGCATTTCACCATTTTTGAGTCAGCATTTGGTTTTAAGTATGACAAAGCCCTGGATGATGGAGGTGGCATATTTACATGTAGGTCCACCAATATAAGATAAAAAAATTTAAAAATGAAGTAAATCATAAAGTTAGATCAGCTTACAATTGTTCAATACATATATGTTAATTATGTTTACTTTAGATCTTGCTCCGAGCGGATAGACAAGTTGTCTTTGTGCTAATTAATTATTTGTAAAATTGGAATGTTTCAAGCTTAACAAAAGCAATCAATATAATGGACAATTGATCTGTCAAAATAATTACCATGACCATCATTTATTAATGATTTCAATACACATCTTTATCAAATATATTAAAATTTAAAGCGGCTCCGATTAACTGGTTAGCGTTTTTGGTATTCTATATTCAGTCATTCAGATATATTCAGTGACAATGACATGAAGTTTATAGGAAAGTACACAATTTTGAAAGTGGTCTACAACATATACCCTTTATTCCGTAATGAACAAATAGTGAAATACTGTAAATTATATTTGTTCCACTTGAAACTTGTAATGACAACACCTGTCTCATACTATCAAGTACCTTGGTGAGTATTCTGATACCCCAAGTGCTCTTTTGATTGATGGTAAAAATGGTGCTGGAGATCTTGAATGTCCATTCGATGATGAAATGGAAAAGTTGCCATCCGAGTGCTCTAGAAAGGAGCATGAACTGTTCAACAGTGACGTCCGTAGATATGGAGATTGAGATGAAAAAGTTTGACTTCTGCGAACTGACGTTTTTTGTCGATTGGGACCTGGTGTCAGTTTAACTGTGGATGGCATATCTGATTCGCTGTTTACATTAAAAAGCTGTTTGTATGACCGATCGTAACTGTTCTTCTTGCTGCTTAATTTTATTTTCGTTTTCTTTTCATGTGAGAATGGTTTTGGTTTTTTCAATTTCAATGCTGTTAAATTTTGAGTATTTGTACTTTTCCAGGAGCCGTTTACGACATTCGAGCCCCATATGACAGCAACTGCTAAAATTGTGAGTAAAACAACACTTTTAAAACTTAAATATATAAATATCACAGACGATAACAATAAAAGGAATAGATAAAAGGGCTTAAAATTATTCATTTTTGTCCATCTCGGTGTTTAAAAGATTTTCTCATGCCGGCAACTTTCGGTTTGGAGATTAATGATTGCTTCCGGTTTTCGGGACTTCATATGAATTTTCAAATTGACTGGTCTATTTAATTTTTACGTTTAAATAAAACCAAATATAAGTCAAAAATTTGGGATAAACTTGACATATATAATCGAAGTTATAATTTTCTTTTCATTTTGTCGTTGATGTCTTTACTTCTAAAAGATGTAAATATAAAGCTTCAATTTGATTGGTTTATATCTCACGCTGGGAAAGGCGGAAAGTTGAAATTTTCAAAGTTTGTAAACATTGTCGAATGATGCGAGTATAGAATTGACGTTAAGGAAGCAAAAAGAAGTAAGAGTCCACGTAACAAGCTATGCTATTATACTAAGCATTGGTTTACTAACAAGTACAGCAAAAAAGTCACTGCAAGACAATCGCTCAACACAAAAAAGGGGGGTTTGCATGCAATCTTTGATTTATTGAAAGGTTGCAATATGTTGAAACATAGTGTCTTTTCCGTCTTCTTAAGGGGCAGTAGGAACTGTTTCTCAAATAATTTTGCACCCAACCAAATGGGTTTGCGGGCCAAGGCATATTTACTATAATTAAGTGCCAAGATTTTATCACAGGCATCGGAAATTCTATCAATAAAATTACGTAAATAATAAAGCAGTCTTCACGATAAACTTTTAAATCTACAGGCCCAGCACTCAATTTTTGGAAAATTTTAGATTCTGTTGGCCTGTTGAGATGATTTTTACAGGCCCGAAAGCAATTTTATAAGCCTGGGTTGCTGGGCCTGTGGCTGAGCGTGAAGACTGATAAAATCGACTATCAATAGAGCTTCTCGTAGGTCTCGGAAATTCTATCAATAAAATTCTATAAATAATAAAGTCGACTATCAATAGAGCTTTTCGTAGAGAATACGAAAAGCTCTATTGATAGTCGACTTTATTATTTACAGAATTTTATTGATAGAATACGAAAAGCTCTATTGATAGTCGACTTTATTATTTACAGAATTTTATTGATAGAATTTCCGATTCCTGTGATTTTATGCTTACTGACTACTGCTTTGAAATGTAATTATGTGTGAAAATTTTAATGTTTCTGAAATTTAAAGTTACAACGCAATCCCAATACACCTTTTCACTATTTATTCAAATTCTGATTAGTTCTAAAATTACACAACTTTTTCATCCATTTTAAGCTATCTGGGGCCCTGTTTAAACAAAGTATTACTATTCAAAGAGTCTGAGAAATGTTTAAACCATGGTAAACACTTCAAACAAAGCATTTTTGTCGAGCCTGCGACTTTTGTCACAAAAGACATAGCGATCGTACATTCCATATACCGCGGCGTCCACAAATATTCACTCTGTTGTTAAAGTTTTTGAAATTTTAATAACTTTCTTAAACTATCCTGGATTTCTACCAAACTTGGACAGAAGCTTTTTTATGATCCTAAGATAGTATACAGAAGTATATTTTGTAAAAAAAAAAAAATCCTATTTATCTATATTTTACTTATAAATGGACTTAGTTTTCCTGCCAGTTAACATAATTTTACATTCACTCTGTGGTTAAAGTTTTAAAAATTTTAATAACTTTCTTAAACTATCCTGGATTTGTACCAAACTTGGACAGAAGCTTGTTTATGATCAAAAGCTAGTATCTAGAAGGAAATTTTGTAAAAAAATATTTCCTGTTTTTCCGTATATAACTTATAAATGGACTTAGTTTTTCTTCCAGTTAACATTACATACAGTTTGTAAAAGTTTTTAAAACATTAGATTCATAAACCATTCTGGATTTTTACGAAACTTGGACAGAAGCTTCTTACAATCAAAAGATAGTATCTATAGGAAAATTTTTAATAATTTTTTCCCTGTTTTTGTTGAGCCTGTGACTAGCAGCAAAAGTAGGCGAGATGAATGAATTAATAAGTTTTGAGATCTGAAAACATTTTGAAATAAAAAGGAAAATCATGTAAAAAAGAAATCAACTAGAAAGCAAGTATTTCTGCAGAAAAACCAAATTTGAAGTGGTTAATAATTGGGAATCAAGTATTGATTAAAATGAAGACTTGATAGGTGGGAGTCATCTGGTTTGTAGAAAATTTATCATCTCAGACAGGCCTGATTCAGATTCTGATGATGATTTAACTATTTGTAAGCCCCTTTCTTCTACTGAGATAAAAAAGAACTGCCCAAGTCTAACATTTGTGAAATGAGCACAATGAGATTTTAATCAGTGCAATCATTGGACAAATCTCAAATGTTGTTGTGATAATAGAAAAACAAAGGAGAAGGAATAGTTAAATAAACAACACAAAACTTTATTGATATACAAATGCACATATAATCTTTATTGTTAGACATTTGAATTTTCTGTCGTTGAAAAACTGAATTTTCACTAGTATATTGAATATGAGATTGATTTTCTTACTGTCATGAGGACTTCAACCTCTATCGAAAAGATATAGGTCATCATATTTGTTTTTGCTTTGTACCTCCATTGGTAGACCTATTTGGAAAATGCCCGCGATTTTTGGCTAATCTCCGCGAAACGGATAATAATTAGAGGTTCATCGTAAATTTGCTATATTACAGAATATTATACATGTTATCCGGAGATTTTCCGTGTCGGCGGGAATTAGCTGTTTGTCCGATAAAACGGGTGTGTATTGAGTCAGTGATAGAACCAGTGATGCGTGAGCGACGGTTATTAATAGATAGTTGTACATAGATGATTATAGAATCCGTTATGCGTGAGCGACGGTTATTAATAGATCGTTGTGATATATACAATGTTTACAGTCAGATTAAAAAAACTATCTTATTTCCCTTTTCGGTCGAGATAAAACGGTGTTTTTGATAATAAAGTTACTTTCGATTTAAATATCAAATGTTGTCATTGTTCATTACAGAAAAATCTATTTTAATGTGACCAATGAACAAGATGAATACACGTGTTATCTTTGCTATAGACAACTACAATTTTTTTTAATATATGAATGGAAATCGTATTTCCGTTAAAAAACGTAAACTAATCTACTATTCATGATAGATTCATAATGTGAATCGATAGTTTGGGTCAGAAACTTTGGTCTCACTTTAAAAAATTCTTCACAATTGTCATGTTTAGAAAAAAAATCAGTCCTTGTACTAATAGAGTCTCCGGAAGATAAACTGATCTGACACTTGTCCTAGTGTATTTAACACCTGCTGTGATATTGCTTGTGCAATACCAGTGGAAGGTCGTAAATCAATCTGTACCCGATTGATCAGAATTTAATTTTACCTGTACATATATTTAGTCGTTATGGAGGATATCATAGATACATGTTATATATTGTATTGTAATTAATGAAGATAATTTAAATATATTATATAATAAAGACCTATTTGCATATAAATCGAACATATTCATTCCAACCAAGAAGGTTTGAAATTGAAAGTTTTCAACAAACTTTTGATAAAATCTTTCCCATAAATTACATACGAGTCATTGGTTTATAGTTACACAATTGTTACCCTTCTAACGTCTTATTCTTTGTGCTATTAAAAGAACTCAAAATTTTCCATATCAGATCACATTTCGTACGAGTCCTAAAAATTATAATTGAATAATCTTCTATTTTCCTTTCGACACCACGTTCCCCATAGGAGCCTCAATATCTAATCATACCTGTCAATCATTAGCCACAAGTTGGTCCGCCAGATAGATCACTCGTGCTTTCTATTATGACATCGTTGAGAAGTTTTTGTAAATTGATTTGTGATATAAATAAAGTGATGTGAAGTTTATTTTACGGCCGATCAAAATTTGATGTGATTCGATTTTTCTTTTACACAAAGATGTTTTTTAATATGTCATAAAATACATGGAAATAAAACATTTGAGTTCTTTTTTTCCCGTAAATATATTCAATAAACCAAAATTTATTTCAAAAGGTAAACATTTATAATCATTACAAAGTTATAATTTGATTTTTATTTAAGTCGGTTAATGGAAACAATAAAATAACAACGTCTTTGCAGAAATATTAATCCAGACATTAACGTACTTAGACTGTCCATTTGTTCCACTGTGTAGGACAATTTATTCACGAACTACATCATTAATAATTACTAATATAACAGTTGCTGAAATGTAAGTTGTATATTATTTATTTTTTTACAAACATGCGTTTTGGTTCCGTTCAGATTTGCTATTACATCATGTGTAGATTCCTTGATTTTCATCTAGTTTCAGTTATATATATACTTGTTCTAGTCAGTTTAGGGCTAATCATTTTGCCTTCCAACAAAGTCAACAATTTAGCATCGGACGTATACGTGACTGCGTATTTATACATCTCTATATGTTATATCTGATGTAATGGACTCCTAGTATGTTGTCCTTTTAAAGTTGGCTATACAATATTGGCTGTGCTCATTGCTGAAGGCCGTACAGTGACCTATAGTTGTTAATTTCTGTGTCATTTCTCTTGTGGAGAGTTGTCTTATTGGCAATCATACCACGTCTTCTTTTTTTATAACGTACCTGTTTTAATAGCAATGTTATATTCAAAACGGATGAGAAAACCCCATGGATGACAATTATCTATATCCATGTCAAGTGGGGTTAGGTAATAGGAGCGGAACTTATTGATTATGTATGTTTGTGAGGGTCTGGATAGGATTTATAGAAGAACAGAGAACACAAATGGACAAAAAGTGCACAACATAGGACCAGAAAAGTAAAGAAAAATAGACGCCAAGAAAATAAAGAATATAGAATAATGAGAAAAAAATATGAAGAATAGAGAAAAACAGATGACTAACAAATTAAAAGACAATTAGGATTGAAAGACCTCCCCCCCAATATTCAAGACCTTCGTATGTGTTCAAAGAAAATCTGCATACATTATAGTTCCTTGCTATAAAGTTACGTTATCAAAGGCTTTTAAGGATTATGTACCCTTGTGTTGATTAAATGCTAAACATATGGATTTTTTTTTAGAAAATCCACAGCTTTTCCCTTGTACTGTCATATTTGGCGATTCGATGCTTTATTGATGAAGGATTATTGCATTCAGTGCTAGCAATGATTTTTTTAATTGAGTTATATATGTTTAAAATATTATAACAAAAATAAAATGCTTCGGCGCTGAGCGCAGCCTGATATGACCGCAGAAGTTGAACCATGAACAGTTGGGGCAAATTTTGACACAATATTCAAGCTTATTACTGTCTGAATTTGGATTGTGATCAAATTTTGACATAATATAGGTTTCTGACACAAAACATGTGTAAAGGTCTTTCAAATCTATTGGGCAATACTGTGCAATTAAAGATTTCTTCTTG